TGGGCAGGAAAGCCTGTAAGACTCTTATCTCCAGTTAACCATCAGAAAACCAGAAGTGATACTAGCTCGAAGTGATAGAGTGCTAGTCTTGAACAAAGTGAGCTCAGGAACAGTACCCAGGCCCTGAGTTCAAGCCTCACAATAGACAAAACCAAACAAACAAACACCAACAAAACAAAAGTCAGGATAAAACATTAGCACATAAAAAATGAAGTCAAAGAGTTCATGATTTGTATTTCTGAATATAAGTATTCATTGGATATTCTGTCACTTTTAATATGTTCATTGCTTATTCAGGTGTGTCTTGAGAATTAGACATATTACTATCACTTAATTCACTTTCATTGTAAAATAAAATAAGCTTCTTGGATTTAAACTTGAACTTATTATAAATGCAAATCTTTTATGGATATAAATGTCAAGCAATCTTCTAACAGATCTTCAGTAGAAAAAATGAAACATAAAAATTTTGAATAGACACATTAATGATGTTTCAGAATCCCAAAGGCAAAGCAAAATGGTCTTAAAAATGCTAGAGAAAAAATTATTTTAAGAAAATTAATGCTTACTTAAAAAGCATGGTAACCAACTGATAGTAAACAAAACTGGGAACAAGAAGATTAGTAACTTCAAAATTCTGAGACAAATTTGGTTTACACTAAAATTGTACACTTATGGAAATTGTCAATTATTTTGAGGTCTAAACTACATGGTCATTGATGACCCAGGGAACTTAGACTCTCTCAACTCATTTCTACTGATGAATGTATATAAAACTGACAGCTAAGTATTTTCTGTGATGGTAGGGTAAAAGCTGATGAAATTATAATAAAAATTTAACCAGATACTTAATTAAGCCAGATACTAAATTTTTCTTTCTTCAGACAAAAGTGTTAATGACATAAATGTTCATTTATGTTAATAGTTCATGTCTCAACATTTGAATCATAATATTACTATTTTATTTTTAAAGGTAAAGTAAGTTTTATCTCAGTGGATGTTAGAACACTATGATTGAAAGCTACTCTGTGTCAGTTAACATTTTTTTTAAAGTTTGGTACTGTAGAAGACTATGTAGATTCATATGCACAAACGCACACACATATGTCACATATATGAGCACTGTTATAAAAGTATTATGAGAAAAAGCTGACATTTTGATCTCTAACTTCCAGGTTCCTTTGTTTATCATCAACTAAATTCTAATCCCAGAAAGGACTATAAAATTCACAAACCTAGACTCTACATAAAATTTAGAGAAGTTGAACTTTACTTAGAAATTTATTTCTTTTTGTTGGACTAGCCTATGTAAATTTTTTATCTTGAAGTGACTTCTGTTATTCAATACTGTTTCTTTTTAAATTATATTTTTTGTGGTTGTTTTTAACTGGCTGTCCTAGCTCTTTTAGTTTTAGGTGTCTTTTTGTTCTTAAAACACAGGCTGAAGAGTTGAGACAAGGATGCAGTTCTAATAGATAAGAACAAAAGGAAAGTGATGAAATTATCAGTTGTTTTGAAAGGGAAAAATATTGATTTTTTTTTGTTGTTGTTGAATAGGTAAAGATACCTGGAGTCCATTGAAATTAAACATAGGATCTGAGTCAAGATACCACCAGAGGGAGCTCATAGTGAGAAAACTCTGAAGAATCACAATGTTAACATAGAGACTATATATAAAAGAATAAATTGTTAATAGTTTTCCCCTCATATTTTAAGAAAGCTACACTAGTTGGCTACAAAGAATAAAAGAGACAGAGACAGAGAGAGACAGAGAGAGAGAGAAACTGGTTAAATTAAAAAGAGAAGATAAAAAATATTAACCTAGGTAAGTTTCAAGTTTGCTACAATTATTTTAGGTCTGAACTATATTTAATATTCTGCCAGAGAAATATATGAGGTTACATATAAAAAATAAAGCAAAAATAAGGTCAAGTAAAATGAGGTAGAACAGTCAGTATGCACATAGGTTAGACATTTCTCTGTTAAAATAACAGCTACTGTGGGAAAAGAAGACAGGAAGACAAAAGCAGAAAAGATTTTCTTGACAAATGCGAATATCTTTAGATCTACTATTACTAATTTCCTATTTCCAATCTGGGGATTAAAGTCAGGAATGTAAGTAAAATGAATGTCTGTATCAGAAAGCTAGGGAAAAATAAGACAAAAATAGAAACACATATTTTTATAACTGTTCTCACCTGTGTATGTTAAATTTTCCAGATGGTAAGTATACTTCAAATGACACCTTTGTTTGAGACTGCCAACGTTACAACTCTCTAAATTTTGCAAAGATTTGGAATGTCTCAGATGTTGCTCGCTGAAATTATTTTCCCCCCGTATGGTTTTAAAGTGTCATAATTAGCTCCTCTAAAGAAGATTTCTCTCAATTAAATTTAAAGCCACAGATTGTTAATTCTAGATAACTGATATTTTAGAAAAGTTTAAAAGTAAGAATTATTTTCTAGCTCTGCTTAATTCCAGGGACAGAAGAATATGCAATATGAAATTTGAGATAGTGAACACAGTTTTAAATCTTGAAACATCATTTGTAAATCAATAAACAGAAATTTAGAAACTACTTACAACTCTTCATAAGAAACATAGTATTTAACATTTTAAAAGTGATTCTCTACTTATTTTTACTTTTTTTTTCAGTCGTGGGGCCTGAATTCTGGTCTGGGCGCTGTCCCCCAGTTCTTCAGCTCAAAGCTTGTGCTCTACCACTTGAGCCACAGCGCCACTTCTGGCTTTTTCTGCTTATGTGGTGCTGAGGAATGGAACACAGGGCCTCGTGCATGCAAGGTAATCACTGTACCACTGAGCCACCTTTCCAACTCTTATTTTTACTTATTTAAAGTAAAATAGCTTTAATGATTTTCATATAACTTAAAAGAATCTCAGAAAATATCAGAAAATTTAAAAATAAAATTTAGACAAAGGTAAGCCTATGAGTCCTTAAAACATAATGAAATAGAACATGCTGTCATTTACAAAAAGAAAACTGGAATTGTTTAAATGAAGCTATAGACATAAGAAAGTTTATGAACAACCTATCAATTTTAAGAGTCATTAAAAAAGAAATAAAACTTGAAACCATATATTTTAGGAATAATTTATTTTGCTTAGCTAATGAAACTCACGAAAACACATCACATTCTGATAACAGAAACAAAAAGATCATATTAAGCAAATCCTGAATAATCATTGGCATTTATTTGTATATGTCTCATGAAAAAATAGTTACCTATTTATGCTTCTTATGGAATAGCCAAAAAAACAACAAAACAAAAACCAAAAAAAAACAAAGCCAGGAAAATACTTTGTATTTTATTTGACTCTCCTTTGTCTTATTGGCTTTATTAACTTAAATACCATTATTCTATAGGAAGTAATTACTTGAAGAAATGTTAGCACTTATTGCCTAATGGAATGTTGTTAGTAGACTTGTATAGATGACAAGTATTCTGCATAATTCATTTTATAAATATATCTTGACAAAACATGTTGGGAAACAAAACACTTGTAGAAATATGGTGAGATCAAGTTTGGACTGTGAGATTACTTAAGAACTGATAACTAATTTTACAAAATTTATATATCAGCCTAATAGAGTATAAATTTAATAATAGCTACACCTGAAATAATTGCATTTAAATGATTGCATAAATAAAATATTCTACTATAGGAGCTGTAAAAAAGATTCACTTGGCCCCAACAACCAACAGATAATATAGTGTCTACATCAGTGTTAACCTTGTATTCAAATTTGAAAGCTGGACATATTGACATCATTGGTTAATATTCCTTTAGAAGAAACTGAGATGTAACTTTTATAGAATATATCTACAATACCCAGGCTGGCTTTAATTTTTCATATTTCTTTCACCTTGTACTTAATTGAAAAAAATCTCTTTTGAAGAAAAACCTACGCGTTTTCTCCATAGAAAGCTACACACATATAGAATTTCTTGATTTTACTAAACAAAATTGAAATCTTGAAACAAATTGTGATATTTTAATATATTTTGAGTGATTAGTTCTTCTATAGAACTATTTGTCACCGAATATAACAGCATTAGATTTTATTCATGAAATACTATTTTAAGATCTTTTCCTCTATCTGGTATTTCTATTCAATCTGGTAGTAACAGAGTAATAAACAAGTTAGTGGGATGTTCTACAACTTATAAATACACTGTTCCTATTATTCACAAAAAACTACAACTCAAGCAAAATGGAAAACTATGAAGACAATAATATTATGTGTTGTAACCATAGGGCATATCTTTAGAGTGATGACTAGGGCCATAAATATTCTTTCATAGGAAAGAAGGGAAATTTGAACATAAAGACAACGTAGTAAGTATTTGAGAATGAGAAAAAAACAAATAACTAAACAATGGATTCTGGAATGATGAAAAATTTTATTTTTAAAGAAAAAAATTCTAAGGCTGTTATTTTATCCCTCAAAATGTTACTATGTATCCTAAAAATAAGTTATTTATGGGCTCATTTGCCTTCCAACAGCTGCTGAAACTAAAACTTGCCAATTTTGTAAGTCATCTAAATGTTCCATGTTATATATGAATGAAGATAAACTATCAGTTTCCTGACAGATGCAAAGCAGTCTGCTATAAGTCTAAAATAAGTTTATATTCAATCAGAGAAATGTTTCTCTTCTTCCACACCCCATTATAAAGAGTAAGGCTTATAATTGTCTGGAGAGAAAACACAAAGTTAGATAGTATATTTTTTTCAGTTTGTAAATAAATGTTTTGGTCACTTATAAAAGCTGTTCTTTATCAGCTGAGGATTTTTATACTCATTTTAAACTATGGCTTATTATCATCAGAAAACATGAGCATTGTGTTTTAGGTAATACTATGAAAACTCTGGCATTGTTTTGGTTCCAGTTAGTCTCTTCTTAAGTCCCTGCAAACAATGACAAAGAATAAATACAGGAGCAACGGAAAAAAATAAAGAAAGGTTTCCAAACCTACTTTTTCTTTAGTCTTCTATCCTTTTCAGCTTGAGTTCCAAGTTTGCCTAGCCCCAAAGATTCCTGAGCTGCAGCTTCTGTCTCCATAAAACCTCCTGTGAAGAAGTAACTATTTACATTAATCCATACACATTCGATCATTCTAACATTGTACTCTTAAAAGTGTGTTTGAGTAACTGTTTAATATCACATTACTTTAGGAAATTTATATTATATTTCCAACTCAACATAAATAAGGCAACACAGCTAAATACATTAAAAACACAGTGAAAGAATGGAATTTGAGGAGGAACTAACTAGTTGTGTATAGTTATCTTGCACAATAATGTAAATGTGGAAAAAGTTCAAAATGGTCAATTTGGCCTGTGCACTGGCAAACACTTCAGTATGCAATACTTAAGCTTCAGGTCAAATTTTTGACTTTGATAATGGAAAATTCAGAGTGCATCTTTGTATAATATTAATGATTTGTTTTTTCCTCCTAATACTCAAAGTATTTACCATATCACATATATAATGAGAAAATTATACATTGTTAAACAGAAAGTTAATTAGTGTTTAAAATTCTGAGGTAGAGAAAGGCCAGGTATTTGCTGAGTTCTAAAGGCTCTTTATATGTTACATATGGTAAAGAATTTTGTTTTGATCAGATGTCTGACTTATACAAGAAACTCAGTTATACTCTAGATAGGGTTTAGAGTTAATTTTTAAATTTCACAATGCCTGAAAAAACTTCTAAGGTTTTCTACAAAAGACCTTGATCAGAAAACACATTTTTACTTAACAGATCAAGAAGGTATTAATTAGTTCTAATATTATTAGCCTTAGATATATACATGAAGAAAAAAAATTGTCTGTATTAAATATAGACCTGTTACTTTCACAGTATAATGATTTCAGTCCAGAATTCTAAAAGTATAATTGATTCACAAATTAGCTTTTGTAATTGTAAAATGAAAATTTATGTTTGGTGTGTTTTTTCTTTCATATTTTATGTATATGAAAAACTATCAAGTCATCTCAAGTTAAAAATGCTCTAATTTTAAGTAGACAAAGGTATGGATACATATAAATGGAAGGGATTTAAACTATAGTTGGTTCAAGTTTAGGAGGGATGAAGCCAATAGTTTTAAAAAGAGTACTCTCAAAATGTCACCAATTTAGCTGGGCTCTAGTGGCGCAAACCTGTAATCTTAGCTACTGGGGGGCCAAGATCTGAGGCTTGCCAGACAATGCAGGAAGCCCGTGAGACTCTTATTTCCAATTAACCACTAGAAAACTGGAAGTGATGCTGTGGGTCAAGCAGTAGAACTGAAGAGCAAGGGACAGTGCCCAGGCCCAGAGTTCAAGCCCCATGACCATTAAAAACAAAAAAAAGAAGTCACCAATTTATCAGTAAAAACTATTAAAGACAACCTTCACTTGTCCCTGATTGCAATGAATACTTTCTTACTTAAAATTTGTAAGTCTTGGTTTTATATGTTTTTTCTTTACTAGAATGGAACAGAACATGTTTTTTGCCTCAGTTTTCCACAATTTCTTCTGACAATTTATGATACTGGAAGTCATTAATTATGTTATTCCAGTATATATAATTTAATCTTGTAGCCTAATAATCTTATTAGTGAACTGAATAATTTTAAGAAAATATCTTTAATTGAAACATTGATTTTTATCTAAATCTAATTGGAGCTTATAGCCAAAATTTATTTCACTCATTATGACATATTTTACTCATTATGACATAATATTGAAGTCATTATTTATCATGGAATATTTTCATTGTTGTTTTCATTAGGAAAAATACTCACTGGCTGACCAAAATAATCCTGGGAGACCTGTCCAAATGTGAAAATTTCTAATAAATATAGTAAGTAAAAATTTTTATTTTATTTCCCTTCTGTGTATTTGTCTTAGTATACTTCCATGAATTATTATTCATATCTGCAAGTAATAATATAAATGCTCTCTTCACATAGAAACAAAAGTGAATGATTCACTTTAAGTTATAAAATTCTCCACTGGTCCACACCTTTTTGTTGGGGATTGATTGAAAAGGCTTATTCACTCTATAAATGATGCAATATTTTCAAATGATAGATGGTTAGATGAATTAGGCTTTATTACTATTATTCCCAGCAATAAAATAACTAGCAATTTATAATTTGATTTTTTTTCAAGAACTCAACTTTTTCATGGAAAAAGAACATTTATTTTAGCAATGCAATCTGTGGAAGGAAACAAAGAAAGTTCTAGTTGTATTTTGAAAGTCAAAATTAGATATTGGTATTTTTCATTTCATGAGTAAACCTATACAAAAGAAATGAATGAAGAAATTAGAATTACTGAGTCCTCTGAAATTCTTTGTGTAGTTTTGTTTCCAAAGGATTTAATAGATTATTGAGGCTGTATTCTGTTTGAAAAGTACCAAGAAGAATATGGCACAAAGTAGGTAAAACTCATGAATCATGACATTCAGGATAGTTCTCTAAAGTGTGGGCAAACTGCCAGCAAGTGTAGTTGTTATAGACCAATTAACTCATTTTCAGGTCAGGCCTTCCTCCCTTCCCCCAGAATTGATTCTGTTACCCCTGTAACGCCAGGTTCATTTCCCATACTTACCTACTTGAGGATCACCTCAGGTGATTATAAACTCTACAATTTAATCTGTGGTTATTGTTCTCAATCTGATGAAAGAGTCTGTCTCATCAGACAGATTACATGACGATGGACATTTCAGGGATATCTGCTATCTACATCACTATTTTATTCTTCAGCCACATTTGTTGAAATATATTTGACATGGAATTGTGTTTATCATAATAACTCAATGGTTGTACTATTACATTTCAATTTGTCATATAGCCATAAATGGAATTAAAATTTAATATACAAAACAAAAACTTTTAACATATATTCCTCCCCTTGTTTATGTGAAAGAAATTTGCTAAAGCAGCATTTCTATTTTCTTACTTTAAAAGATATACTTTTATTTTCAGGTACAGGGATTTGAAGACTTCAGAACTTCACTCTTGCCAAGTAGGGTCTATTTTGCTAAAGCCATGCTCAGAGTGCTCTTTTTGCTTTTCTTGTTTTTATTTTACTAAGATTTCACACTTATTCCAAATCACCAAAACAAACAAAAAGAAACATTTTACTTTGAAAGTCTGATAGCTCGGAGCCCTCTTACATTTTGAGATAGTCTCTTTGGGATAGTACCAATGTTTCATTTATGATTCCTACTCATACCCAAGGGAGAAGGGAGAAGGACTAACCAGAGTGAGCCTTGCAACTAGAAAGCCTGAAGATGGAGTGAATCCTATCACCTGCACCATTGGGTGATGATTATTTAACCAGCTATTAATTCCACCTAATTATTTCATTACTCATGTCTTCAGGGATGTTGAGAGCCAGTTTGCTAACTGCCTTCCCTGATCTGAATCTGAGAAGCTTCGTCAAGGGAGGAAGGAGCTTAGTCTGAGAGAACTATGTATTTTATTTAACTTTTTAAAATTAGATTGAAGTGATTGTACAAAGGAGTTACCATTTAACAAAGCAATTTGTGAATATATCTTGATCGATGTCTCCCCTTTCAATATGCTCACCCATCTCTCCCCTTCCAACTCCTTCCTTCACTCCTCTTAATTTTCTATGTATTGGATTCTTAATGCAATTTCTCCCTCTTTTCCTCTCCATTTGTCCAACTCTTTCCACTTGACTCCACCTCACCCCCTTCAAATACCCCTTTCCTGGTGTTTACTTTGTTGAATTTTGATTTTTCCTTTCTTTCAGTGAATATATTTGCATCTACTTATACTACTTATATATATGCATTTATATATATATTTGTATATAATAATATTACTTATATACATAAATACATACCCAATGTGTGGCTATATTTAACTAGACTTAATTTTCTTTTATTTCTAAATTGTGTATTGCCTTCAGATAAAATGGAAAGTCAAGCTATAGGGTATTCTATTCTAACTACTTATGCATAATGATGAATACTAGGATCCAGAAACAGTGTTCCCAGTTGTCCTGATGCGGGGACAGATACTCTAGTAGAAAACAATCTAAGGGGCCAGATCTCTCTCTCTCTCTCTGTCTATCAATATCTATGTAGATATCTATCTCTACTGAACTTTAATTTTGTTTTATTTCCTTCTGCGTGAAAATATACTATCTGAAAATATACTATCTGTCTCAGTAAACTGAGTACCAATAAGTATATCTTAGTCATGTTCCTAAAGCTCATTGGTGGCACTTTGTACATAACAAAGGCTTAGCCCAAGTTCGTTCATCTGAAATGGGAATAAAGACATTATTTTGAATCATCTGGTCTTTTTAAGCCTCGCAATCTGGATATTGATGCCCTCCTGCTAGCAAGTCTTTTCTGGGTGAATTCTTTCTTTTCAAGTAAGAAGACAAAAGTAAAAAATGAGAGTTCCTACAAGAACAGCATAGAGAAGTTGGGAAAAGCAATGCTCAGCAGGGTAGAAGGAGTAGGGGTGGAGGCAGAAATACACTCTGTAGGTGAAAGGGAACTAGTTAAAGGGGTTGTGCTGGCATGGGTATAAAGAAAGTTGAGTATTATTGAAATAAGACTGCAACGATGAAAAGTGAAACAAGAAAACCTGTTGGGGGATTTTATTTTAGGGGGTTCATGGAGATTATATTGATTGGAATGTTGTATAAATATGGGTGGAGATGTAACAATACAATTTCCCTTTGTATAACTAATAGATGGAAAATGAGAGTATGGGGATAGTTCTATTTATTTGTACATTCTATTCACACTAAGCAACCGGTATTTTATTCCAATGTATTTATATGATTTTATAATTTCTCATCTTGTAAATAGTTTTCCCAAATGCCAATTCATTTATCTGGTGGTCTTTCTAACATTGTTTTGACATATCTCTGCCATTTCCAAAAAACTATCAGTTATTGTATCCTCATCCAATGTTTGTAGCCAAATACTTGGCCATCCTTTTTAAGCAGACTAATCTCATTTCAGATATATTACTTTGGCCTTCAGAGAGCATCATCATAAAATATGATTTGAATATATTAGTACTGGCTCAAATTTTCTTGGTAGCTAGCTTTCAGTGTCTAAAGCTATCAACTGTGCTAACTAAAGATACATATTTCTAGAGTTTTGTAGTATTTGTGTATATTTCAGATTGTGGTAGATTATAAAGTAATTGACAGGTGACCAAATTAAAAGGAGAGCTGTTAGCAGTCACCTCATCTTCCTCATCTTCGATATTAAGGGTAGGGGAGTGATAAGCTATTACTGGGGAGAGATAGAAGGATCATGCATGTCATTTTAGTTGTTCCTTTGCAGGACAAGAATTGACCCCAGGTTTGTATGCATGTTAGGCAAGTGCTTTACCACTCTACCCTAGCTCAAGCAATGACTGTTTTTTAAATTATATTTTTTTTATTGTAAAGATACTGTACAGAGGGGTTATGGTTACATAAGTAAGGTAATAAGTACATTTCATATTGAGCATTGTTACCCTCTCTTTTGTTTTCCCCCTGATTGTTAAAACACTGATTGCCCAGGAGAATGTTTCCATACTAATGGATAGGAAGAAATGAATTGCATTTGTATGCACGCATCAGAAAGAGTATTAGCATGGTCTGATGCATCACTGGGCATCACAAGGTTCTAATCCTGGGTTAGAAAAGCTTTGATGGTCTTCCTGTTGCAACCTGGACACACCCTTCAAAACAAAAGTCAAGTTGAAATTGATACTTTCTCCAAAGTAATGGTCAAGTCCTGGTACTAATGTCTTTTGCTATGTATATGATTTTCTGGAGCTTGCTTATGCACGTGTGTGTGTGTGTGTGTGTGTGTGTGTGTGTGTGTGTGTGTGTGTGTGTGTGTGTGTATGTCTCTGTGTATGTGTGTGTTTCTTATTGCTCAATTATTATTTCCAATAGAGATATTTTATTGTCAGTTCCTTGAAGAGAATTGGTTTACTTTCTGAATGGTTTCTGAAAAATTCCATCCTTTTATCATTGCTTTTCTCATCAGTAGTTTGTCCTTAGCTAAGGACAAAAGTGTGTACATTCCCTCTGCTCCTCTATAGAATGAAACCTTCTTGCTCAGAGCCTGGTATGGTAGTGCACAGTTGCTTTAGGAGGCAAAAGCAGGACGATGAGTTCAAGGCCACCCAGAATAAAGACACTGAGAAGATACTGTCTCAAAAAAGCAAAACCAGGGACTGGGGTTGTGGTTCAAGTGGTAGAGCACCCACCTAGCAAGTGAGAGATCCTGACTTCAAACCTAGTAAAGATAAAAAAATAAAAATAAGATAAAAGTAAAAGCAAAAGGGCTAGAAATGTAGCTCAAGCAGTAGAGAACTTGCCTTGCATAGCCAGGTTCTAGGCTCAAACCCTCAGCACTCAAAAGATGATAGACAAGACGAAATAGCAGTATACTCAATTGTTTTAAAGTTAATATGATTTCTGTGAATTACTAAGACATTATTTACTCATAAACGAGGAGGTCAGTAACCATAGGTGCCTCACAGAGTTGTTGTGGATTCACAAATATTAGCACTAAGTAATTTCCAACTATTAGCAGAAATAAAAGGATTGGAGGTTTTGTAATGTTCTTTCAGGATAACTTATATTCAGTGTTACTCAGCTGAGTTGGATTTACAAAGCCGACGGAACATATTGTCAGGTAGGAAAGTGAAGACGTGAAAAGAAGAAAAAAGAAAAGTAGATGAACAGTTACAAGGGACAAAAGCAAGTGCTGATAGTGGGCCACCAAACATACACATTGCATACTTACGGAGCTGCCCTAGACGGGCTTTCTCTTTTTTCCCAAACAAACGTCCTATTGAAGACTTGATTCCTTTCTTTTTGGGGGCTTTGTGAAGAGAGTCTTGGCTGCTATTAGCACTTCCAAGCCCAAGGCTTTCTGGCTCAAGAGAGACAGATAAACTACTGCAAAACACACAAAAAAGGACAATTGTTCATTTTGGTGCACATGGTACAGAAGACTTGCTTCCTTTATAAATGTACAAAGGAGGAACAAAGAGACTTTGAATGTTATTTTCTCCCTCTTCCCAGCTTCCTCTTAAGATACTGAAATGTAGTTTCCTGAGCATCATGGTTCCTCTGGCCACATTTTCAGTATGAACATGTCTTCTTGTTCCAAAAGGTTTTCCCCCTTTTTATTCTCGGTGTTATCACACTAGACCACATAAATGGATGGTCTTGAGATGGTCTAATAACTGAATAGTAAATGTCATATTATTTAGTATTTGATACATTGTTTATATCTCTTCATCAGACTTTATTGTATTTTTTTCCTAATCTTTTTTTTTTTCAGTCCTGATGTTTGAACTCTGGGCCTGAGTGCTGTCCCTGTGCTCTTCAACTCAAGGCTAGAGCTACTGCTTGAGCCACAGTGCCATTACCAGTTTTCTGATGGCTAATTGGATATAAAAGTCTCCGTGACTTTCCTGCCTGGGCTGGCTTTGAACCACGATCCTCAGGTCTCAGCCTCTTGAGTAGCTAGGATTATAGGCATGGGTCCCTCTTTTTTTTTTAAATTTTAAGTAGATGGTCATCAGCTAATTGTGAAGTTGAAGTTGCCATCATAACCTATGATTTTACTCGATTTTCTCCTAGCCTCCTTTCTTTCTCACACATTTGAAGCTCAATTCTAAAATCATCTTAGTTATACTCTGGAAGGAAACATCATAAAGGGTAGTAATCAGTGTATATTATTTCTTAATTATCACTCGCAATATTCTTTTAGATACATGGTAAGATGAAATGATTTTTAAATAGTTTGAGTAGATTCACTTTCTGGTCAAGATGTTTGGCGCTGTATTAATAGGCCTGCAATATATAGTACTATAAGTTTTTGTAGTTTCTAATTTGATGATATAATGTATAATTTTCTACTTGTTCACGTTCATTTGAGTTCATAATCTCTAAATTCAAAAGCAATGTCTTGTCATGCTCAAATATAATTAGTTTTCTTGTCATGCGGAAGAAATATATATTGAAATGTATCATTTTCTTCAAGTTAATATTTAATAATAGTCAAAAGGGAAATGTCTGTCAGCTCAGAAAGCTTTATTTTCAAAAGTATGCGCCATTAAAACATTATATTTAAGAGACACAATTGGCACATAGGCCAGAGATATGGGAGGAGCCCATACTGTAATGACCACTCTTGAGACAGCTCCATTGGACTCCTTTTTGGAGGTCTCTCTGTTTGGGAACTCTTATTACTTTCATGGCTTTCCTTTCATTTTCAAATAAACTTGTGCCTACTTTAAAGACTCTACTACCTTTTAATTCTGTGTGTGTGTGTGTGTGTGTGTGTGTGTGTGTGTGTGTGTGTGCGCGCGCACCAGTATTACGGCTTGAACTTAGGCCCTGGGCACCGTTGCTTAGTTTTTTTCACTCAAGTCTCTTGCTCCACCACCTGAGCCACTACTCCAATTCTGGCTTTTTGGTAGTTAATAGGAGATAAGTCTCATGGACTTTTTTACACAGACTGGCTGTGAACTGAGATCCTCAGATCTCAGTCTTTTGAGTAGCTCAGATTATTGACGTGAGCCACCAACACATAGCTTAATATTTTCAATGGCTGATGAAATATTACCCTTTGACATTTTTTTCCTTAATATTTTAAGCAGAATGAATGTTTTTTAAATTTATTTTTTAAATGTATTATTATTCTAAAAATTTGGCCAAAGGAGTTTTTCTTTCAGAAACACAGAGTGCACTTACCTGTTTCTTAAATTTATGTGTGTTTCTTAAAAACAAATGAGAAACAGTCATGGACATTTCAAACCTGAATTCCTTTTACACTTACAATTAATATTTTGTCTTTTCCTAAATCCCTCTAGCTTTTTGTTACTATTCTTAAGTTTTTTCCTCAGCACAATGAAAATGCAATAGGTAACATCATCTTGTATAATATGTAGTGACAACACTACAAAAGATACAGTTAATTTCTGTAAGGTCGGCACAGGGCCACCTCCCTACCTCTTGGCTAAGTTTCTTCCCAGTATCTGTTACCTAGGTAACTGGCAGACCTGGAAGCAGTCACCTTCTCCTCCTGCTAGGTCACATCCTGGGCCACCTCTGGTCACATGCCTCCCATCTAACCTTAGGAGGGTCCCAGAACCTGAGGTCACATCCGCATCCAGTGTGGCCACACCTCTCCCCCACCTGGCCACACCTCTTCCTGTCCCTGGCCTAGATTAGTCCTGGCCCAGGGTTGGGTCGCCCCTTCCCCTCCTCTTTTTTCAGCCATTCCTCTCCACCACCCATGGTGGGGGCAGCAGTTCGGCAAATAAACTTCTTTTCCTGCCTGAATAGCGAGTGGTGTTCTCTTCGTTGGCTACTTAATGAAACATACCTATTTAATATACCTTACAATTTCAAGGTTCAAAATTTGACATAAGAACGGAAATTTGGTTTGTAACAAGAATTATAAGGGAGCAAGATAATACCCTGATGAAGAATTATGACTCAAATACAACTTTTATATAAATGTCATAGGAATATATATTATGACACTGAGGGATAATGGATATTTGTGAATCCATATGTAGTGTGCTCAGGTGGTCTTACCTCCTGGCATCATTGTGGTAGGAAGAAGGGAGGGTGTGAGTCATTCGGATGGCTCTGGGTGTAGGGGGAGGAGAAGTTTCACATTTAATTGTTGCTTTGTCCTCCCGGCCATCTTCTTCTACAACTGCAATCTAGAAGGGAAACAATACATTCAAATGAACTATGATTTTCAACTGATACTGATACCAATGAAAGGCAAGGTAATTTGAGTAATTCCAGTACAAAGACTTAGGGTAAATAAATCTTTCTTATATATGCTTATGTTTTAAAAGAATTTGACTTTCACAGCTATGCAAAACTGTCATGTTACAATTAGCAATGCATAAGCCTGCTACACAGAACTATTGTTGAAGAGTGGATCAAAATACAACAATAATAAAGAACGCAACTCTGCAACCCATTTTAGCATATGAGAACATACTCTTTTTATAAAGAGGTGGTAAACACGTATTTGAGAAAATTTACTAAATAAAAAAGCATTATGCAAAGTTAGATTGTCATAACAATCCAACAATTTGGGGGAAAAGGTCTGAGATCTGAACTAGAATTCTGTACCTGTACTTGACACTTTGGCTTATTAGCCTCAGACCCCACAAAGAAATCTGTTAAGTGAAAATTCTTTTTAAAAATACAGGCAAGTTTGAAAAATAAGCTCTTATTTGAAAAAATATTTTGAATTATTCCACCTAATAACTCACATTACAAGAAATTAGGTTTCAGTTTATAAGAATAAAGCTCTCCACATGAAAACACTAAAATAAAAGGAAAGAACATATTTCTGTCATTTTATTATTTCACTACCAGACAATAGAAAAGGTACTGAAAAATCAAAGGCAGATAGGATGCAAGGAATTCCTTAAAGAGCAGTTTAGTTCAAATCCAGATCAATTCAGGATATCATCAATTTCAGTAGGAACAGAGAAGCAGAACTGTTACAAAAAAAATAACTTTCTCCAAATCAAATTAACTGTGGAGAAATAATTGACATCTTTCTACTCCCTACTTTGAATCTTTCTCATCTGTTAGTATATATCTTGCTAGTATTATCTCCACCTTTGGTCCTCAGCTCCACCCAGACTTGAGGTCCTCCCTGCCCTAGAGTTGGCCATACAGCTGGTCACTCCCTCTCTCTGCCCAGACCCACCTGGGCATGCACCTACTCACTACTGGCCCCCAGACGCTCCTGCCACTTAGCTAGGCACCGAAGTCATGTGCTTCCTCTCCTGGGAAATATGGCTCTTCTAATAAACCTAATAATCTTTCTCCTGTGCCTGCTTGCCTCTGCGTGGTCCCCTGGGATGGTAGTGAAGGATTACGTATCTAATAAGATGTCATTTTGTGAATCAGGGTTTGGAGTTGATTTTGTTTCCTCTATGCTGAGCAAGGGAAAAAAATATGTATATGTATTCTTTCTTTATTTGCAGGCTTTCTGTACCCTTGATGCTCTGGTTTCTGAGAAGATGACTCTTCTCAGGACTAATTAATTCCTAGAGATAGCAAAGCACTTATCTTAAAGAAGTCTTTCATATGTAAACCCAGCAATCCTAGGGGTCCAGCAGGCAGCATTTTTCCTCCTCAGTTGCCTCAGGGCCTCCAGAACTAAGACAACTCCCAGGTCTCTATGCCCCACAGCCAGTTGAAATGGTTACTTTTTAAAAATCCTGAACCTGCTTGCCCTGCTCTTCCTTCCCTTTTTCTGAAGGGCTCCTGCCCAGGCTTTCCGTCCTTCACTCCTGCATCCAGACTAGCCTCGGTAATCCAAGAACTTCTTCCCTTGAAAACTGTACCCAATTAGTATCCTTTCTTGGCAGTTGTCTCCAGGTGGGTTGGACTAACCATTACTGAATAATAATGAAGCTGGTGTATCAAACCAACCAGCCTTGTTCTAGTGTTGATGCTAAAACACCAACCATGTATCCATGGGTTAAGAATTTCGTAGGAAATCCGAACACTTAGTTCTCAGAATCTAACCATCACCCTAGAGAGCATAAATGATTCCATGTTTGAGGTATATACTTATATTTTCATACTTAAATAACTCAATTAGACATAAATGACTTAATATTTTTCTTGATGTCAAAAAGATTCTGAAGAGGTAATCTCACTTTAAAGCTTTCAAGGATAAAAGGCAATATTCAACCAACAATTATATAAATGTTATATCTACAGTACCTTTCTCCGATGTTTCCTTAGGTCACTTGGCTGTGATGGGTAGTAATAAAAAGAAACATAAAACAATTAATCATTATCATTTACCCATGTTCCAAGTTTAAGCAGTTTTTATAATTTGACTATCTCTTTTATGCTTCATTGCATTCTTTCCTAAATAAATGTCCCTCAGTCTCTATTAAGCCACTCCTCCTGGTAGTTAGAGAGAGAACCCCAGAAAGCAAGGGTTCACATCCTCATGGTGGAGCCATTCCACATCCTTTGGGTCTGAGACAGGGACCTTGTGAGTATGAAGCACAGAGTTCAGTGTGAGGTGTTACCAGATCAAATGTAGACCTGTATCCTAACAATAAAGTAGAAATGGGGAAACAAAATCCACTGCACATACATAGAGAGTATAAACTCCCTCTGCTCCGTCCAGGAAGAGCTTCATGTCTGTTTTGGCAATAATTTTATTCTCAGGATCTCAAAGTTCCTCACAATCCAACAACATTCCTCCAAATCACATAAGCCTTACCAAGTTCTGACTTCAGCATAATTTACTTCTGAGGATACTCCTTTTCATATGTGTGCTTGTCGACAGAATTTTTAAAACACAGTCACAACTTTTCATGGTTCCAAATGAACTTGATACCCTTAACAACTTGGTTAATTTTTCTCATGTAACTATAGCAGTTGTTATTGAACTACTCTATTATGCTTTATATTTTTGTTGTTTGTAGGAAATTTGCTGAACTTTTCCATTCAGTCATTTAAGCACATACCATTACATGTTGTTTATACTTAAGCATTTGCTTTGCAGTAAGAAGGAAAAGCAAAGGTAAGTATACTGTATTCTCAAGACTAGAAACGAAGTTTGGAAAGTAGTATAATGTGAAAACTTAGTATTTAAAAAAAGTTAAAGACACAAGTGGATTTTTCTTGCTTGCTATTGTTTCTAACATATTTATAAGGTACCACGAGATTTTTGTTAAGTCCCTCCCCCACGGTATAACCCTTGTTTTCACTGTATATGATGTTGGTATAATTTGGGGAGTGGAAGGGAAAAAACAAATTGTTTAAATAGGGATACAGGTTAACCCACTGCAACAATGAGATGACAAGATGCTATGTTGAAAAACAAACTTTACAATTTGGGCTGGGGAGCAGGGAAGGGAGAATGTAGTTGTGGAGATGGGAGGGAAGGGATGGGAGGAAAAAAACAAAGGAAGAGGCAACAATGCTTGATAAGAAATGTACTCATTATCTTACTCATGTGATTGTAAGCCCTCTGTATAGTATTTTCACGATAAAAAACATTAAAAATAAAAAATATCAAAAAATACCAAAACAATTAATTTTCTGTCTCTAAAATTCTAAATCTTTTCCTGAATATTTTAACATGAATTATAACAAAACATATATTTTTCCTTTCAATATTACTTATAGGTAAAAGAAATATATCTAAACAGTTCAGTGACATAACATTTTTAAGAAGCAAGCACTTCCTGGATTTCCTTTTTATATTTTCCAAATCTAGGTATTAAAATTTTAAGCATTTACGTTTCTTTAAGGAAATGCCTTAAACATTTTCCAAATCTAGGTATTAAAATCTTAAGCATTTATTTTTCTTTAAGGAAATGCCTTAAACATTTTTGGTGCTCTAACTATAGTGTAATAATACTCATTTATTGCTCTTTATTCATTTATGACTGCCCAAGAAAATGTGTGAACATTGTGTGGCAATTTTTTTATATGTACAAAAATAATATCAAAAGAGTGTAAATATATTATTACATTAACATAGTACTTACTATATATCAAAACAATTCTACTCCAGATGCATTTGATCCGTATGACCTCAGTCAATTGCACTTAAGGTATTCAGTCATGGAGAAAGCTATTATTGTATGAAGTACCTGGCCTGTCCACTGACATAGAATGTAATCTTGAGAAAGTTACATATATATATGAGCAATGGTTTCCTCATCTCACAATGGGATGGATCATGGGAACTACCATACATGGCTGTTGTGGCTTAAAAATAAAACAAAAAAATAATAGTCTAATCCATAAACTAGAGCAAGCAGTAAGTGCATGCGAAGACTTCACTTCTATGAACAGGAGCACAGTTCCGGCCTCATCAGCATACCAGTGTCATGACTCCCATCCGATCCATTTCCCTGGCAGGACTCCTTGGCGTGAGCTTTGGCGTTGAATGTCCGCTAGGGGGAGATGAGCTGGCCAGTGATGACGCTGTCACAGAGGCAGTGATGGAGGTACCTGGGTGGACCCTTGCTAAATTCAGGCCTTCCAGGCTCACACTTGCCACTCTATTCTCAATTTCTTCAGCACGCAGTTCTGTAGATTCCTTTTCTTCCTGAATCAGCCTGAAAGATGCAAGTTCATAGACTGTGATTAGACTGCTATAAAGGCTATTGGAGTTGGCATAACAAATCAATTAAAAGTATTTTGTATGATATATCCAATAAAACACTTTCCAACTTTCTATAAAAAATGCTTCTTGCAGGTGAATTTGTAGCATATTCTAGGTAAAACTTTATCTTATTCTTTTATGAGAATACATTAAATGTCATTAACCTGTATATGTTTATTGTGTGTACCTTCTAAGAGTTACCTTAATTTTACACAAGTGATAGACAGGTAACCTGGGGGCCTTGTTTAAATGCACATTGTGATTCAGTGTGTAGAGGGTGAGGTCTCAGCTTCTCCGGGTTTAGTGCTCTCAGGTTATATTCATGCTTCTAATCTGAGGATCACATTTTTAGTATCAAAGTCTTTCATTTCTTGAAACTTATCAGTAGAAATTAAACATCACCTTATTTCTTTGTTAATAGCATCCAACTGTTCCTGGAGCATCATTGCCAGAGTTTGGGCATCAGAATGACCACTTGGAGAAAGCAGGTCCATTGAGCTAAAAATTGTATCTCTATCATCATCATCAATATCAGACATTTCTGTGTCACTTTCAAAATGGTGACTGCTGAGTACTCCAATTTGTTGAGTTCTGTTCCATTCATGATCCCCAAGTGATTTTACCTAAATGATAAATGACCAAAATACAGTATTTATCAGACCGTTCATTTTTAAAGAACTAACCTGAAAATAGCAACAACAAAACATGTAGGTTTAATGTATAGCTTGTCTCACAAAAGCAGAACTAATTACTAACATTTTAATTTACTAGTCCAATGAAGTATTTCCTTAACATTTTTAGTAATGAAAGGTATTGCCAGCACAACTAGCTATAATTTATTAGGAATAAAGATGATAAACTTACACTTGATTTGTAGCTCAGTCATATTTATATGTATAATGTAAAGCATTTACATTTGTAATGCTGTCCTTTGATCAAAATATAACGATCTCTACTTATTTCTACTTTGTATTTGGACTTCTTACCCTAATTAATCTCTTAAAAGCTAGAAATATTATGTTAAGCAAATTACAAATAAGAACTCTCTCTTCAAACACACATAGGTATGTATTAAATATTATTAAAAATGGCAACATAATTTAATTTCTTCTCTACTTTTTTGAACACTTGATCACATTATTAACATTTTAATCCCAAATGGCTGCAATTTACATCACTATCTTCTAAGTAGAATTTCTTCTTTGAAAAAGGTTTTGAATAAACAATGGATCGATGTTTTAAAAATTGTGATTCGAAGAAATAAGAATGTTAAACATATGGGAAAGCCCTACAGAAGTCTGTTAAAAAAAACAGTTTTCATTGCTGTCATCATAAAAAAAAGAACTTAATGTTTTTAAGCACAAAACTTTTTTATCTGACATAAATAAATATTTTATTTCTCACAGTATCGACATGATTAAGGAACTGAACTCTTAGCATTTATGTTACCATAGATTATGGGTACCAGAAAATACTCATTGATTTGTCATATAATGAGTAAAAAACTGAGATTTTAATTTATTCTTCATTTGTTCATTTTTAGTTCATGCACTTAAGCATATATTGTATGCCTGTTTTTTCAAAAATGATTTTAGAGACTTTAAAGTAATAATCAGTTTGAATTAATACTATTGCTTAAAAACCCAGGCAAACTAAAAATCTACTTGTTTGGCAATATAGTTCAAAACATGGTATTCAAAGCCACACAAATAACGGTTCAGCATTTGACTTTGTCAGCTTTCTAGTTGTGGAACGTTGAACTTAATTTTTCTCAGCATAAAACTCTTTAGACCAGAAATAAGTATGCAAAACTGGTACTGAGTCATACCATAAAGATAAGTACCTTGGAGGCGCAAAGCTTTGGGAACAAGGTAGTCTTTAAGTTAACTATCGATTTAAATATATGTCACATCCCCTACTTGCCACTAACAAAATGGTTAGCATTTTGAACTCTCCCCAGGTGAAAATTCTATTCAAAAAGAGAATCACAGATTTAACATGAAAGCTCGCAGAGATGCAGTGGTTCACCTTTGGCTCATCTCTGCGCACACCCATGCGGCCTCGCCGTGGTCTTCTAATCACTTTCGTTGTTCTGTAATCGGATTGGCTGTCCACTAGGGATCCAACTGAATACCGCAACTCAGTTGAAGTGTCCAGGTGAGTTCTGACGAAAAGGGAAAATGTGAAAGATATTCAGTCTCAAAAATTACACTCATCAGCCTAATTGGCAACGAAGCACAAAGGCTTAAGAAAGAAAATGGATGAATTGTCATGTTCTTTGAGGCCTCCAGGGAGACACAGACTTTCCAATCTCAGACTCATTCCTAAAGATCCAATGTGCTTTCTTCCTTTTGAACACATGAATAATCTTTCTGTTTATTACTATTTTCAAATGTGATACTATGATTAAATATGTTGGGTGGATAAGCAAGGTTGGCTGGCTTAAATGTTGGCAATTCTATTTTGTGTTCTTTAGTAGCTATCTCAGTACATTCCACTTAGTAGATATCACATTTGTCTCATTTATCATCATTATCCTAATTAAAAAAATGTACAAACTGTTTGGGTCTCAGAACTTTTCCAACTTAAAAATGTTTTAAGAAATTCATCTACACGTTCTCTGTTTTACAGGGTTCTATTTTTTTTTTTATTTAGAGAGAAAACTGAACATTTAACATGATCAATAATCTTATTTTTTAAACTATTTTCTGGCTGCTGAAACTACAAAATAATAGAGAAAAATCTTTTGGTAAACACATTTGATTCTGCAATTTGCTTAGAGACGAAATGGCTGGAAGATTCCAACCGGAAAATATCAGTGCCCCAGTTTTCGATAAACATGCTAATATAATGCACTGTAATCAAAGTGCCGAATAGGTTTCTCCAGGCACATTACTTGTAGATAGATTTACAGCAACTTCAGTTTATGGCTATAATAATGATTATGATAATAACTATGATTTCATGCTGTCCTATAAAATACCAGATCTATTATCAGTAGGAAGTATACTTAATGTGTTTTCTATTGAACTTGAGCTTCCCGCATATTTTCTGTACTTCCTCTGTAAAGTTTCCTTTGTGAACAATGATGAGCAAGATTTTACAAATTTAGTTGAAATTTAGATTTTTTGCAATAGCGAGAGACACTGCTTTATTTAAACCGTGTTTGAAAAATGGGATGGAAGAGGTAGTGAGAAGGGAATATCACAGAGAAAGGGAACTTGCCCAAAGTTCCTGGGCTGCTCTATGGAATTTCCATAGTGAAATACCTTTGGACTATTAATGTATGTTAATTAACCATAAAATTAAATTTAGAAAGTAAAGAAAGGATGTTTTTGCAGCCTAACACGTTGAACCTGAAAATGCTGGGACAAGTGAATAACATGAGCAAGGCCATACTCTTCCCCAAACTGTGCTGGGTAATTTGTGTACTCAAGTGAATCCCTAGGGATCCTTAGGAATGGTAAAGGTTTTAGATGACATTTGATGGGTGTCTGACTTCAGGCAAATTACTTTTTCATTTCAATGTTCGATTGCTCTGTGTGTCTTTTGATACAATCATGTTGATAAGACCTGGGTTTTCAGAGGGCTCTGTGTAGGAAAAAAAATCTAATCTAGATAGGAAAGGAGGTAGATTCGCATGGAAGCTAACTCCAGGGAAAAGTACAATTGGAAAAGTTGTGGGTCATCCTATTTTCAGTCTAAGGTTCTCTCTGATGTCACCTGTTCTGCCCCCAAACTATTGTTTTGCATGGGTTTAATGACTTTCATTATAAATACCTGTCATATTGTTAACTTGCATTGGTTAGTTACTGCAATAACAGGCTTTTAGACATTACACCACTCTGTATTTTTGAGACCCAAGGTAATAAAAACACAGGGACTAGCAATGTGATCTATTAGAATGTAATTTTCTTAATTAGATGATGCTTGTTCTATGTATTTATGCTTGTGATATTTTATCTGCTCTCTTCATCCTTCTTACTTTTTCTTCCTCTTCTTGTCTCCTCATCATTATCATTGTCACTAATAATGCATGAGCACAATCATTGAATTACTTTTTAAAATTTGTATACATAAATCAGAAATTGAAAAATTTGAAAAACAAGCAAGAACTTCTAAATTGTGGGCTTATATATTTAAAAGTCTTTTTGGTATCATTTTGTCTATAGAACTATGTCTCATACTAAACTGAAGAAAGAAATAGTCAAACATTGAATCTTATTTTCATTTACAATTTGAAAATAATATAAGATAATTTTTATTAACTTGCTTTTTATGGATCATGTCAAGCATGGCTTACTAAGTACTCATTCATTCAAAAATATTTATATGAAACATACTACATGAAAGCATTTTCAGTGCTAAGATTACAACTGTCACCCAAACAGATGCACATTTATGCCTTTGGGGTGCTAACACTCCTAAGATCAGCACAGCACCAAGAAAATAATCTTCTAGAGTCTGTGATTGTCAAAAATTTTGAACAGCTGGTACTATTCTACATTCTCTGGTAAGCAAATAATTAAATATACATATCCGTCTAGAGTTTTTATCAATCTTAAATAAAACATCTGAAGCACAAAAGAAAATTAATGTGAGTTATTAACCACCTATATATTTATCCACTAAGCCATCATCTCGTCACTTGTTTTATTTATGATGGAGTAATGAGTCACATTGAGTAGGCAGGACTAATTTTGATTTTGTGTTTTCTCTCTCTCTATATATACATACACGTATGTATATATGTACACATATGCATATACTTTCTCTTTTCATCTTAATCCACAATTACTTTAACGAAACATGGAGATGCAAAATGACCATTATCAATGGCATTTGATCAGTCATATTAAACATTGAGCATAATTTTTTATTGTGTACATATTATAGAAGGGACTGATGCCTTGTCTTGGAACAAAATATAATCTCATGTGCAGTACAATTTCTTCATTTAAGAATATATTTTTAAATTCCTCTGAAAATTAACTAACAGTTTAACAAAATGAATATCAAAAAGCTGAAACATGTTTTCAAAGGGGTGGTCAAAGGGGAAGGAAGCAGGCAAATCGAGAAAGGAAGGGTGGGTGGATACAGTCCTTATATTCAATGTACATATGTGAAAAAGGAACCACGTAATTTGAGGTGGTTGTGTGGTTTGGGAAAGATAGGAGAAAATGATGGAAGGGGTGACATTAATCAGGATACATTGAATTTATAAATGATTTGTTGAATTGAACTCCCTTTGTACAACTATGTAAAGATGTAAAATAAAAATTTAAGAGAATCATGTAAAATATATTTATCTCTATATAATTAAATGCAGAATACAAATGTACTGATTTACATTTTCACTGAATATCTTGAGAAAGGACTTTTAAATTAGAAAATTCTTTTGGAATGCAGAAACTAATTCAGTAAGGAGTCAAAAGATGGCAATGAATATTGAGCAAAAGGAGGTACTCATTTTAGTTGAGAAGACATAAAACCATATTGAAATTCATCTTGACGTTTAGTGAATTATAGATAGTTTTTATTTTAATGTTACCTGGATATTGTAGGTTCAATTAAAGAGCCAGTTCTCATTTTTAATTGGTCAAGTTCAGATCTCAGTTTTTCAATTTCTTCTGCTAATCTTTCCTAAAAATAAAAATGTTACTCAGATGGCAGTCAAAAGCTTATAATACCAATATTCAAGTATGATAAACAAATGGCTTTTTGAAAAAAATAAGCCCAATATATTTTTTATAAAAATTTATTAGTTGAGATAGCATAATATGCCTGAATTTTCTCGTAGGAATAATTATACAAACAACAAATGTTTATCAGAGTGTATCTATATTCCCTGATGTTCACTAATTTTAATATTTGTAAAGTATGGGAAACACTAAAATCAAGATTAGCTATGGAGATAACATTTGAGATACAGAGTCCAAATCACACCAAGTTTTTACAATAAAGAAAACATTCTATTTGTTCAGTAATTAAAGAGCTACCATTACTCCCTGAGAGGAAAGGGGGGAAAAATGAATTAAAAATATGTGTAAGGAGCTCGGAATGTGGCTTAGTGCTAGAGTGCTTGCCTAGCATGCATGAAACCCTGGGTTCAATTCCTCAGTACCACAAACACAGAAAAAGCTGAAAGTGGTGCTGTGGCTCAAGTGGTAGAGCACTAGCCTTGAGCACAGAGAGGCTCAAGGACGATGCCCAGGCCTCCTGAGTGCAAGCTCCAGAACCAGAAAAAAAAAAAAAAGTTCATGTTAAAAAAGCATCACATGAAAAAGGAAAATGATAGTGTGATTTTTGACTTGTTATCCATACAGTTTTTTGCATTTCAGATAATTTTTTAGGTTTGTTATTACACATGTCATTATGTAAACTTATAAAGAAAGAGTTGTCTTTTAGTAAATAGTGAAACAGCAATAAAAGACTCTTTTATGTTTGTATAAATGTATCATCAAGATTTTATGTGTTGCTTTTCTCTGTTTAGTGACCAGCACTTGGAGTTTTATTTGATTTATATTTCTTTTTCTTCATCACACATTATGTTTGTCTGACCTATGTAATATTTCACCTATTTTTTTCATTCTCACAAACACCATCCTACTCTTAAGTTCTTAACTTTTAACTCTGTGATTTTTGCCAACTTCTTGTTGGCAAACAGACTGTTGCAAGTTGTTTAAAACGTAAGTACTTGATTAAAAATAGTCAAGAGTTTCTTGTTGAATTGGACAATCAGTTCATCATTTTCAGAAGAATGCAATGAGCACCTCATCAATACCAGACACCTAAGATTCAGTAGAAGGTGGACAAACTTCCTGCTGTTGCTTAATTTACAATCTCTTGGGAAAGACAATGAACAAATCGGAAGCACAGGAGTGGAGGAACTGTCAGGGAGTAAAGAGTGGAATCAGGGAAAGGTTCTGCAATGGCTAAGTGATCTTTGAGCAAAGACCTAAAAATGAGAGGGAATAAAACATGAGAACTTCTTGGGAAATGTATTGTAGACAGAAGGAAGAGCCTCTTAGTGGAGGTATATTTGGTGAGGTAGATGACTGTGGGTAGGAGAGAGATGAGTATGGGGTAGATTTAGAAGAGTAACCACTGAGAGCCCGGGAAAGGAAAGTTCTGAAAAACCTTTTATTAAATACTTAGGATTTTTACAGTGGGTGACATATGGAGTCACGAGGAAGGGGGTGAGAGCCAAGAAGTAATATCATTCTGATTGTTCAGGAACGGGGATCAGGAAGCAGAAAAGGAAGGAAATTATTGGGACCTTTCTAAAATATACCTTAAAAATGTTCAAACCTTGACTTTCTTGATAAGATGATCTTATGGAGAACATAGAAAGACTGTCACTTTTGACAGAACAATGAAGAGAACTTGTCTATTAGATTGAACAGGGAATGGAAGTCAAACAGTGATTAAGAATAACTCTAGTTTTCTAATATGAATGACCAAAAGAAAGAAGTTGTAGGTGTCCACTGATAGTTGTAGACCACCGATGGTGGTGATGGTATTCAGCGTATTGAGGAGGGACAGGTTGGGTTGAAAAAGTGGGAGAGGATTGTCCCACTATATTTGAAATATAACTACAAATATTTAGATGTGTGGGTATGCAAGAGAAAATATTGAATTGGCAGAAGAGTATATGAGCTTTATCAGGGGAGAAGAACCAGTATGTAAACTAAATTAGAAGTGTTCATTGTATACGTGGTGTTCAAAGTTATGAGCTCACCAAAAACTGACATAAAGAAGAAATCCCCAAATTTCAAATGATATTTTTTAAAAAAAGGTGATAAAGGAAAATATTCAGCAAAGAGGCTGAACATATGGAGAATTTTACAGACTATAGACTGATTATACGAAGTTGAGTGGAAATTTGAGTGATTATATATATGGTCAAATTATGGATGTATTTGGCTATATGAAATGATTATTTCAAAAGGAAAAATGACCTGAAATTACCTTCTCTGAAGACTGACATAAACAAGGACACGAAGAATGGAATGATTAGAAATGTTGGTTGCTTAGGCAGATTGTGGAAGCTATAAGGCTTGGGTAGGTGGTGGGGGAATGGGTTCTGGGGATATTGCCAGGATCACACAAAGCCTGGAATAACATAACATTGCATAACAAGATCAAGTCCAAAATTCACAATCTGGTCAAACTTAGTTCTGTAAACACATACCAATCACAGCAAACTTCTGATGTTTCATCTAGCCAGCCATTTTAGTTTCTTTGTACTGGAGCAGAGGCTCCATCCTCTACCTGGAATAGTCTAATCTTTACTTATTTAAGATCATGTAGCTTTATGAGATTCCTAAAGTGTTGCCTCCTCTCTGCAGCCTTTCTTAGCTATTTCAGAAAAAAATAAAATGCTATCTTTTAGGCCCCTACCATATTACAGTACACTAAATGACTTATCTATCTGCAGATCCTGTGGAAATAAATGATTGCTTATTTCTATATGAGTATTACAATGTGTGGCATCCTGTGTAATTATTCTGTCTTTCCTTTATTCTCTCTTTGTCAGTCATGAGGCCTGAACTTTGGGCCTAGGTGTTGTCCCTGAGATCTTCAGCTCAAAGCGATCACTCTACCCCTTGAGCCACAATGCTACTTCTAGTTTTCTGGTAGTTAATTGAAGATAAGAGTCTCATGGATTTTCCTGACTGGGCTGGCTTTGAACTGCAATCCTTAGATCTCAACTTCCTGAGTAGCTAGGATTACAGGTGTGAGCCACTGGTGCCTGAATCTTACCTTCTTTTCTACACCCTTGACCACCCATTATTCTTTCTTTACCCAATCTCTCCTCTAGTTCCATACTTTTGCCAAATATTTTCTCCTTCACTTTCTTTTTATTCCTCATTTTCTTACTCTTCCACTTCTTTCTCTCTTCCACTTCTCTTTCTCTTTCCCCATTCCTTTATAGTTTTGCTATTTTTCATAGCTTTTGTAAAGACACAATTATAGATCACTTCTAAGTTAGTATGTATAATAAAGTTTTAAATAAAATAAAGTGAATGAAGGGCTATAAAGTGTTACAGATTTTAAGATTTTAAGTCTAGTCCTTATCTGCCTCCTATGCCAAATTATAGATATTATTGAGCTATTAATAACATATCACTACTAATGCCTATGATTGTGTGGAGAGCACTGAGCTTGCTGAATGCTTTAATTAAGCTCCCCTATCTCCTCAGAGCTTTCACAGAAGTAATATAGTGTGATCTTTCCTACTGTGGGCTTATTCTCTGCTAATCTGTTGTGGCACTTGGCATATACCATTCTGCATCATTGATTTGTGAAAGTATGCTTTTTTCTGGTCAATTAGATTTCCATTTATGTTAGAACTAGAACCATGTTGCAAATAACTAGACAGTACTTATTTATAGCAAGTACTTATTTCTACAGAAATAATATCTCAAGCTAGGCATTATTTATTACATATATTTTTATTTAATTGATATGATGCCCAAGCCAAGGTATAACACAATTTACTTTCCAAAGTCAAAATAATACTTATTTAAATGGAAAAATAGTGATGATAAGGTAACATGAAGGCACTTCCACATTACTGATGTTAAAATAGTAAAAAACATCTGATTCATCTATCTATGTACATATTTCCATAGGCATCATATGCAAGTTGAACTTTTGTTTTTTCAATACAACATCCTAAAAGGATCTCTTGTCAAGGTTATCCTATAAAACATTTATCAGCATGACTTGGAAAAATAGGCCCCCACAAAAGTGTCCATAATACCTTGTCATGTAAAGATTCTTCAAGATTCTTTCTGAAAGTTTCTGATTCTTGAATTAAAACATTCTATAGAAAAAAAGGAAAGAGAAGTAAGGTATAATTTAAGGAACATACTTAAGTGTATAGATTAATATGCACAAATCTCTGGTTTATCTGTTGCCTTCCTTATTGTACCTATTTCCTGTTTGTTTGTTTTTTAATGGAAACCAGCTGCTGGAATCTTTAAACATGTTATATGAAGAATGTTATTTCACAATCCCTACAGGGATAAATGGAATAAATATGTTCCAAGCTATTTCTGCTTGTCTTTTCTCAGATTAGGTTTTTAATTACACATAACTAGGTTATTCTTTCCATATGAAATAGCAACAAGGGAAATAACTCACTGTGGTTATCCAAAGAAATAAAAAATATGATGTCATGATATATCTTTTCAAACAGAATTAATAAATCATTAGGAAAATGAAATCTTAGCAATTTAAAAAACTCTTAGAAAGTTATGAAGACAGTTGAAATCATTTTCACATAAAATCAAAGAACATTTGTCACAAAGTATTACTGTTTTTGACAGCTTTGCATAACGAAGTGGGATTTAAAAGATCCATTATTTTCAAATGTATGGAATAAAATTAAAACAAGCATGTAATAATTTCATAAGGGACATGTATTTACAGATGAATGAGAAGAAGTATTTCTTACAACATCCTCATGGGTCCATTAATCAAACTTATTTAACATTCCATTGAAATACTTTTCCTTCATTTGGTGTGAATACTATATGCTAGGGGAAATACTGGTGGGAATTCAGTGTAAATTTCCAAAATGATTTTGTCCACCTGGGTTTTAACACCTTTTGTTTATGTTCTGAAGTTGGCAACCAGCTCACTTACTTTTTGCCTGTCTGGTTGCTGTCAACTATTGAGACATGTAATTGTGAATCAACTTGAAGCTCATACACATCTTCTGAACTAATGCAGCTAGAATCCTAAGCCTTCCAGTAGACTGGAACTAGTTTGATCATTGAATCTCACTCATTCTCTGATTTTTAGCCTGTTGTTCATTACTGGTTATTTGAAACCTATGAATAGTTCCTCTCAATTTAATTCTTGCCTTCTAAATGTTTCAACATAGGAGAGAAGATAAATATTTTTATCAACAAAACCACAATAAGTTTCAGTACTTTGCCTCCCAAGACAATGTCAACATGACAGAATTTTGTATCATGCAGTCATGCCTCAGTTTGTTCACTCAGAATTCATATTATAAATTTTTTACAGGAATTATTGAGGCACTTCGAAGAATGTGTGAGCCATTTGTACACTGAGGAAGGCGCAGTGTGCTGATCTGAGCAGTGTGATGGCTCCAGGGGTCTTTGAAACAAGCATGCTCACAATGATGCTGGAAAGCCTCCACGTGCCACTTCCCCACAGCGCACCTTCTCTTCCAGAGCCGCCATTCGTTCCTTCAAGTGCAGCTGTAGGCGTTCGTTGGATTCTGTCAGAAGTCTGTCCACCGTATCAGACAACCTTTTGTTATGCTCCTCGTTCATTTTCTCTCTTTGCCTGGCCTTACATTCAAGAAAAAAAAATGACATGGGAAAAAAAAAGAAAGCAATTTCAAGACTGTTTAAGCCTCGTTTCTTTGTTTCACTAGATTTCAATTAAATTCGATTTTAAGTATGCTTTGTGGAATTGGGAGAAACTGTTTCAAATTAAAAACGCACATGACAGATCCTTAAGATTTGAACTATAACCCTTCACCGAGAAAATGTTTCTTTTCTATGAAGTCTACGCAGACAGGGGTAGGGAGGCCCCTTCGACTCTACATACTCTCTGCAGTTCTTGATTCTTCTCTTCAAGCTGGCCCTCTAGATGCCTCATGCGTTCTTCAATATTTCCATGTCTCTCTTCAGCCTGATAAGAAATATGAGGAAAGCACTTAAGATGTAAGATGTGGTTAACTCCTGTCCTCTAAGTAAATTGAAATAAAATGTAAAGCAAGCTACTATCAACCGCAAACATAGTTTTCAAAAATAAACTTTGTTTAAACAGGCAGCTGAACAGCATTGCTTGAAATGTGTCAGCTACAAAGGCCTGTTACATCCAAGCATCAGCAAAACATTGGAGTTATTTATGAGCAATGAAATCAGCCAAATGTAACATGCAAACTGTGCATGGTTTGAACACAAACCTGCCATTGTCCAATCTTAAGCTCCTGAAGCACTGAACTGCACAAATGGTCGATTATCAATAAATAAAATAACATAATTTAATAAATAAAAAGAAAAAAACTTAGATGGATTCTATTTAGCAATAGAAAGTAAAGTCCAGTAGGACTACCTTCCTACGTATGGAGATCATTTCTTGTACTTTAGCTTCCGTAACATATTGATAATCATCAGATGAGGTAGAAGAGGTTGGATCAGACTAACGAGTCAAGGAAAAGGAGAGGGACAAATTGAAAAATCAGAACTAAAGACACTGACACTGAAAAGAACATAGCACAGAATGCTTAAAATAAAAATGTGACAGCAAATTTAATAACTTTAACAGACAGAGTTTCATATGGAAATAACTACACTGATAATCTGGTGAACATAATACAGTTGATGGTTATAAATGGAAAACAATGATATGCTCAAATAAAAAGCTGTAAACCTGGCAAATGAGAAGTTAGTGATGGCTGGCAATGAAGGACTACCACAGAACAAACTAAAAGCACCTCAGTTGGAATTATGGGAAACCAAACACCAGAACATGTCTCTGACAGATCATTTAAGCTTTTGTATTTTGGTTTATTTGCTCATTATCTTAATTAAAAATAATGCAAAAATAATGTGTCTTAATATTGAGGAGTGTGCTAACAACGACTCAGGTGTAATATATTTGAGAAGGAAAATGACTACCAACACTAATGTAGTGTTTCAGCTTAGCTGAAGGGCAGATTTTAATGACAGCTTCCCAATTCAAGCAGGATTGAGTTTCCCGAACAACAGTGGCCAATTTATGAAATGGCATCTGGCCTCTCAGAACACATTATATGGTGATCTGTCTAGCATCTAATTGCCTGTCCTCAAATTTGGGTTTGGTTTGAAATTTTAAATGAAAATGATGAAAAGTCCTCAAATTGTCAGGGTGACAATAATGCTGTGAGGACAAGAAACTTTGTGAATCTCCTAAATGACACTGAGGACCACCTCTCTCCCCTCCCCCACCCCAGGTTGTTTGTGCATTGGTTGCCATGGAAACAAAATAATGCCCTAAAGTTTAAAGGTAGCACAGAGCTTTGTGAGTTATTGGCTTGCCTCATGTGAAGGTTAGTTTTATGTCTTGGGGAGGGTCTGTGAGGTTACCACACGTGCAGAGCATTAACACATGTGACATGGCTGATAGCTGAATTGCATTAGTATGTTAGGCACAAGTCACACATAATGTTACATTAACATTTCAATCATAACTGCAAATTAAGTAACTGTCATATCAATACAACTCTATACCAGGACTATAAGGTTTAACTCCAGAGCACATTATTTCAAAATTGATGTTAGTCTAAAACAATGGAAATTATACCAAATACAGTACTATTTGTAAATATGCCATGCACTAATGGAAGAGAACTAGTCATGTTTCATACACAGTTGTGCTATTTTATGCAATCAGTTTCCAATTTATAGTAAACATGTAGCATTTCAAACCTGGTTTGTCAATGCAACTATTTATATTTTGTAAGATTTTTCTTCCTGATACTTTCATTTCCTTAATCATGAGAAGATAACAATTAACCAGTCTCTCTTGCTGGTCCTATATTTTCCACAAATTTCCAGAGAGAAAGCTATGATAATCTTCAAACCCAATAAAAAGTTCTTACAATATAACTTTAAAGTTAGGGTTCTGTTAAGCAAGAATGAAACTAGTGAGTCATGATGGTGTTGAAATTTTAGAATCTGAATTTACAAATGTCTCTATCATTCCAAAAGTCCATTTTTTTATAGACAGTAAAATCAGGTGAATGATTCAAGATAATCAAGTCATAAATTCATTAACTTCAAAAACCCATGTTTTTGAGTCCTTAAAATTTCCATCCCTTTCAGTCTTAACTATTGAAATTATAAGAACACATTGTGAAAATTCATTTCAAATGTAGCAGAATTATGCCACAGCTAAATTATGATGTCATTACTGGTATTTTAGTAGTACTAAAATGAATGAAATGCTTCATTATGTTTAATTGCATGTAAACCTGTCAAAGCCAACATTTGGTTTTACCTATAGCCATTAATCAGGAATTCTTTCTTAAAACCTTAGATGAGCTTTACACACACACACACACACACACTTACACACATATACAATGATGATAATGTATTCTTACTACTGAAGGAATCAATTTGAGCATTTTTTTCTAAGCAATACTGGGACCATTTACCTAATAGTATTGATTTATGTTTCTTTTAGTGCTAGTGATATGTGTTGCAGTGATGTGTGTCAATAAAAATATCACAACGGAAAAGACAGTTATTTCTTATTTATACTTTGTGTGGGGGTGGTGAGAGAGAAAGGGAGAACTAGAGCTTTAAATCAAGGTCTCCTGTTCTCCTTTAGCTTCTTTGTTCAAGACTGGCACTCTACTGCTCAAGCCACACTTCCTCTTCCAGATTTATGCTAGTTGTTTGGAGATAAGAGTCTCTCAGGTTTCTCAGGCTTTTCCACCTAAGCTGACCTAGAATCTCAGTCTTCAGTTCTCAGAATCCTAAGTAGCGTGAGCCACCCACCCCAGCCTGCGTTTCACACTTCAATCTGTAGGAAATTTTCAAATAAGCTGAAGTTTTGAGTAAAGGTCCTCATTTTATATTTGTATTAATATGTCAATTTAAAATCAATTCAAAAACACAAAAATTTGAAATTTTCACAGAGTAGAGATAAAAATGAGGACATTTATTCCAATGAAATATACCCGTCGGAACTGATATTATTCCATCGGAATGTCAGAGATTGGGCTAGTCTTTTATAGTCGGATGGCTGCAAAATTCTAAAATACAGAACTAGTGTAGAATTCACTGACCATACTATGATGAATAATTTTGAGTGTTCACCAGAGTATGATTAATTTTATTTTTATGATAAAACCACAAATACTTATATGCTGACTATTTTAATGACTTTCAACTTACATTTCTAAGAAAGACCAACTTCCAACTTCTAACACCTTCTATCCCACTATAATCTGAGAAGAAATCAGCAATTCATTTATTTCCTATGCTTTTACTAGCAAACAACTATGTGTAGTCTATCAAGTTGTTACATCTCATGTAAATACAGTTAAAAAATCAAACAATATTGTAATGTATCTCCATGAGTATTCTTATGTGCAAATATCACCATGGAGAATTAATGATAAAATGAAATTTCATTTGTCTGGTTAACCTTTAAATAGGCAAAACATAACATTCCTCTAAGAACCACTCAAGTGAACATAAATAACAAATATGCAATAAGAAAACAATTATTAAACAATTGATAACTACATAAAATGATTTAACGTTCATAAAACCTAAAGAAAATACATTTTCTTTCTAATTGAAGTTGTTTCTGCAAGGATATCTAAGCTGACCGTTTTAGTGCAGTACCTTTGTTAGGGCTGCAATTCTCTGAGCCAGTTCAGCTTCTACTTCAGGTAAAGTTTCAGCTTTCCTCATTGTCTGTTGCAACTTTTGCTCAGCTAATTCAAGACGCTCTTGTAATTGTCTGTTCTTTTCTTCCATCTGAAATACAAGCGATACAAGAAACAATGGGTCAGAGTTTAGATTAGTCAATATTAGATTATTACTTTTATAATTCAACCATTTCTGTAAGCTTAAAATCAGAATATGAATATACCAAAATGAAGTAGATGATGTTTTCTCAAAATGTTTTTGTAAACTATTTATCAAGTTCACTTAGTAAATTTAAGCACTTAAAAAGTTCTTACCATCAGCAACAGAAAAATATTACCAGTAACTACAAACTTGAACAGATAGAGTATAGCTCAGCATTAAGACTTTAAATGTGCCATGATTAATAAAAAAAAAAGATTGTAAGCCTTAGAATTAGTCTGTAACAGTAGAGGGGATATGTACCCAATAGCGTTCAGATCTCAAGATAGTGTTGGCAGACTTCCTGAAAATGGCTAGATATAAAATATATCAGGCTTTACACATGATTTGAGTTCTGTCTTAATGATTTAATTCCACCATAGTAACACAAAAGCATTCACAGGCAATGACTAAATGATTAGGCTTGGCTATGTGCCATTAAAAGTTGATTTACAAAACCAAGAAGCCAACCAGATTTGCCCTATGAGCCACAGTTTGTCTATTCTTACTCAAGAGCCCAGGTGACATAACTTCCAGCATTATCATAGGGATTTATGTGATGTGTGACTTCTTGGAAATATTGTCCCCATAGTGTGCTGAATGTACTAATTAAATCTACTCCTTAGGTGGTGGTTAGAATTAGCTGAAGTGATATATTTAGCCTCTATACAGTATAATTTCTAGATACAAAGTAAATTATAGCAATTATTTTAATTATAATCAAGCCAAATAATTTCTTTATTTTTCTAAAAAGTTAAATTACATAGTAGAAATAACACTTCTTTCATGAGCTCAATTCTACCTTTTAGAGTAGAACAGAGTAGAGTAGACTAATCAATCATCTGCCAAGAAACATTCTAGTTTATTTGCTCCATGGTTTGTGAGAATGGTGAGAATGTACACAAAGCCCAGAATGAAACCAAGTCAGGGATACCAAACCTGTCGTAAGATGGCTTCCTTATTTGCCAATTCATTTTCTAGTTTATCATTCATGTCATGGATGGAGGTAGATTCTCTCTGAGCACTGAGGTAACGCTTCTCAAGGGTTGTGATTCTTTCTTCCATGTCTTCTTTCTGTGCCATCGCCTAAAATAAAAATGTAAACCATTATGCATGAACTCCTGGGTTCAGTCTCCAATACTCCAGCACTGGGAAGTGGAACTAGGTGAACGTAGGGTGGAGTTGGAAGAGATGGAAGAGAATGAGGAAAAGAGTGACTGGTCAAGATGCACTGTACTCACAAACTGACATGTTGAACTGAAACCCCTTGGTACAATTAAAAATAATGAAAAATAATAGAACGGAAAGAAGGAAAGAGTGAAGGAAGGAAAGAAGGGGGAGGGAAGGAAGGAGAAAAGGTTAGGAAGGAAAAACAGAGGGAGGAAAAGAAAGAATATCTAAGCAAATTATCACAGAATTTAATGTGATTTTTAATTTAATTTTTCGTAAGTAAATAGAACAATTATGATTTTCTTAAAATGTATCTTTTCTTTTTATAGAAGGAATGTAAAATTTTGTATGAGTTTTTCTAACTTATTCGCTACAAGTGTTCTCATATCATAGAGTAACTAACTATGAGTTTTCTGCTGTCTAAAAATGCAAGGGAGTGCATTTTGAAGCTGCCTAAGATAATTGGTATTTTTTTCTAAAACCAGTGGCAGGCAATTTAGCTCACTATGTAGAAGAACTAAGTACAATGATGGATAGAACTAACCTGACAGTGACAGTTCAAAACTACAATGTGGTTTTAAATCAGAAATAACATACATCACTAATATGATCTTCACACACACACATAAAGAATAACAGTTTTAAAATGGAAGGGTGAGACTGAGGTTATAGTTTAGTGAAAGACTACTAGCCTATCATGCATGAGGACCTGGGTTGGCTCTTTAGCGTAAGGTATTAATAATAAAATAATTTTTGAAAAAGAAGTAAAATGTGTATATGTCCTAGTCTTTCTAGAAGACGAGACTATTTGAGCTCTCCATAGAATCTCTTATACCTGTTAATTCATTTGTAACTACTTACTGTCAGCTTCATCTTCATGCTGAGTTCTGGGAATAATATGTCAATTTTTCCCTGAAGAGAAAGTTTTGAATCTTGACTGTACGTGTATATACAATTTATCTATCTATCTATCTACACATATGTGTATATATATATATATATATATATATGTGTGTGTGTGTGTGTGTGTGTATACATCTATAAATTCTAACATCAATAGATTCAGGAAAAGATATAAAATTACCTCTGTTATCAAGGGTCAAGTCAGTCTTTTTATATTAATAAGTTTTCTTTAATTGTGAAAATACTGTACAGAGGGGTTAGAATTACATGAGCAAGGTAATGAGTACATTTCTTATCAAGCATTGTTGCCTCCTCCTTTGTTTCCCCTTATTATCCCTGCCCTCCCATCTCCCCCACTCTCCCCGCCAAAGTTGTAAAGTTCGTTTTTTGATATAAAGTCTTGTACATCTCATTGTTACAATGGGTCCACCTGTATCCCTATTTAAACAATTTGTTTTTCCTTTCACCTCCACAAATATAGCGAAAACAGGTTATACCATGGGGGAGGGACATATAAAGCAACAAAGAAATCATCTTATAAATCAAGTCAGTCTTAGTATAATTTTCCACACTCTTGCATTTTTATGTTTGTTGTTGTTGCTGGAATATTAACACACATCACATAATGTTGTTATGAGTAAGATGATATAATAACATGAGTACTTTGTAAATGGCCTCATATAGATTCTTGACAAATAACTTCTCTTTATTAGTGATGATCATGTCCATGTTCTTCTGTGCCATGAGCCACGTATAGAGGTCATTATACAGAAACTTGGATTGCATATTTGATTCAGTGATTCATGTGGTGATTCAATTTTTAACTGTAGGCTGTGTTTCCAAAAATAAAATATGAATTTAAAATTTAGAGGACTACTTCTCCCTCTATGTCATGTAGAGATTCTGAAACAGAGCTTTATCTAGCTCCTAAAAACTTCAACCTTAAAAATGACCCAAATAAAAAATAAAAACAGCAAAAAGATTCAATAACTTCTAAACCTCAAGTTTATATACACATGAATTTTGTTATATTATATATATATAAATATACATACATACATACACAAATATATATAACTCTACAGTAATATATCTAGTAATATTTTAAAAACTATAAATATGTTGCAAATACTAAAACAAATATGAGCTTTATTAATACTCATTTGATTACTTAGCAAACTTTTGAAGATCTTTTAATAGGAAATTTGGAAGACAAGCTGGCTTTGTTAAAAAAAACCCACAAATATTATTAAGTCTTTTATCATAAAACTGCATAGCTGTTTATTCAGTGTGATATTATTATCTATATATGATTAGTGAATATGTATTTTCTAATCCAGTTTATCTACTTTTACAAACCAAAGTCAATGAAGGTACAGCTAAGATAAAATTTAAAATAAATTTTGTGGAGATTTCTTTCTTGATAAAGGAAAGTTACAAAATAGGTTTAGAAACCATTAATGGAACATAATCATTTAATTCATTGAATATATAAAGAATGTTAGAAGTGAACTATAATAAAATGAAATTCACCTGTGAAAGAAACTCCCTAAAAGCTGTTGAATAATAAGGTTGATGTCTGGGGAAAGCTACAGTGAGTAAAGAGAGTGAATTTCATTAAAATATGGAAATATGAAATACCAAGGGGAAACCACATTGGACAATTAGCATATACTTAAAAATGAATATTAGGAATGTCAGACAGGTTCTTTCCTGGATGTGGGTACTAGTGGAAAGGCCAAGGATGAACAGGAAGAGTGAAAAATGGTGAATATGGCAAGAACATTTCATGTCCATGTGTAAAAATGGACCAATGAAATTCACTGAAAATGGCTTGGGAAGAAAATGGAGTGATCAAGATAGTGCATCTGTTCAGGATCTATTGGGACATGTCAGTGTGAAGCTCCTTTGTAGAACTAATTGATACCGATATTAATTGTGGAGAACAAAACCAATGTTCAAAACTTCAGCCTACCCCATTCTCCCCCAAAATGGTGTGTTTAGATTTTGTCCTCAGGGCTGGGAAGGTGGCTCAGTGGTAGAGTGCTTGCCTTGAAAGCATGAGGCCCTGGGTTCGATTCTACAGCACCACATAAGCAGAAAAGCCAGAAGTGGTGCCGTGGCTCAAGTGGTAGAGTGCTAGCCTTGAGCTGAAGAGCTGAGGGACAGAGCCCAGGTCCAGAGTTCAGGCTCCAAGACTGACCAAAAAAAAAAAAAAGATTGTCCTCAAATGGAAAGCCAAATATATTTCAATTTTAATTTGATGTTTGTTTATTTCTATCCTCCTAAGTTTTTCTTTAATCGATTATTTACTTGAACAATATACTAGTAATGCCATAGGATTAGCAATAAGAACTTTTTTTTCCCTGAGAAACTGGCAGTTCATTAACATGTATAAGACCATAGTCCATATTATTCAGGAAATTAAAAACAAAGTCTGGAGCTTTAAAAGTAATGATCCTTTTTTTTTTTTCTTTCACTCCCAGTCCTGGGGCTTGAACTCAGCCTGGGTGCTGTTCCTAGGCTCTTTTTGCTCAAGGCTAGTGTTATACCACTTTTCTGTGATTGATTAGAGATGAGTCTCACAGACTTTCCTGCTCAGGCTGGCTTTAAACCCCAATCCTCAGATTTCAGTCTCCTGAGTAGCTAGGATTACAGGCAAGAGCCATTAGTGCATAGCAATGTTTTTGTGTGTGTGTGTGTGTGTGTTTTTTAAAACATGAAATTTATATCTCTCTTATTAGAATGAATGAACACAGATAACTATAGTTCTAAAATTTTTCATGGTAACTATTGAACTATAACAATTTGGGCATATATAATGGGACAAGATGTGTGTGTGTGTGTGTGTGTGTGTGTGTGTGTGCGCGTGTGTGTGTGTGCGTGTGTGCGTGTGTGTGTGTGTACTGGGGCTTGAACTCAAGGCCTGTCGCTTATCTTTTTTACTTAGGGTTGGCTGTCTACCACTTCAGATATAACTCCTTTTCATGTATTTTCTTGCTTGATCTGGCTTCTGAGATCCTCAGATCTCAGCCTCCTGAGTAGCTAAGATTACATGTGTTATGCACAGATAATGAACTACATACAAATTTGGAATCCAGACTCATTCTATTTCCTCTTAGTCCTGGAGTAAAAGAGTAGAATGTAGGCCTCTGACATGTTACTTTACCTAAGAGTTGAAGCCTTCATCTGAAAAAAAAATAGTAAGAATGTAAATACTTCTCTACAAGAAAGTAAAGAGAAATTAGGGAAATAGAATTTTTGCATGTGGTTGGTCTTTGAGAATTCTTAATAAAGTAGGGCCAATTGCCCTGAGAACCAAATCTTTCTTAAGTATTTATTTTTTCTGTCTTAGTGACTTATGAGTTTATATAAATCTGTATGAGTGCGTGTGTGTGCGTGTGTGTATGTGTGTGTCTGTGTGTGTGTGCGCATGTATGCCCACACAGATCATGAGGTATCTAAAAATAAGCTGACAGGCAGCTTCCTTCACAGGTCTAATTAGCTGTGCATGTCCTACAGTCTTGTGGCTGGCCCATAATACCTTCAGATTGCCTGGCTACCTCTGAACACATTTGTGCAGATGAAGAGAACTCTCCCTTTTTCATGAAGTTCTTCTAACTATTTAGAAATTATGGTGCTTATATTTTTTAAAGGATTACTCATTAGAATTGATTGCTCATAAAAAGTATCTGGCACCAGAAGTTTGACATTTTTAAACTTGGTCTTTTGACATCTTCATCTAGAGACTATTAATATCAAGAATATATCTTTAAATGGGAAATAATAAAGAGGGAGATGGATATATTGGCCCCTACCTACAAATGACACTAGATGAAAGTACAGATAAGAATTTGCTTAAAATGAAAGGAAAAGAACCAAATTTCTAGAATCAAAGGAATGAAGAAATACAGAATGCGTAAAAGTTCAAAATTTGAACTAGGGATCAAAAAGACCCAAATCTTAGTTATCCTTTTTTTTTTTCTTTTTTTGGGTCCGGTCGTGAGGCCTGAACTCTGGGCCTGGGCGCTGTCCCTCAGCTCTTCAGCTCAAGGCGAGTGCTCTACCACTTGAGCCACAGCACCACTTCTGGCTTTTTTTTTCTTTTTGCTTATGTGGTACTGAGGAATCGAACCCAGGGCCTCAGGCATGCAAGGCAAGGGCTCTACCACTGAAGCCACCTTCCCAGCCCTTAGTTATCCTTAATAGTATTACAAAGGGAATTACATTTCCTCAAATGGATATATTATCCAAGTGAAGAGGAAAGGTGTACATGTGATCAATCAATTAATCTGAAGTTGTGTCATTATCTGAACTGTAGTGAGCCAACACTTTCATAGGTTATATATCTTTTTTTCTATGATGTAGGCATTGTTTTACTACATATTCTAAATTCAGTCATACATCCTTATGTTTACTGATTATCAAAATCTGTAGGTGTTCTTTCTTTTAACAAAGATTTTTAAGTACCTATTGTGTACCCAAGAGAACAAGGAACAAAACAGCCACTGACTCATGCAACTTTTTTTGGGGGGGGTCTGGTCATGGGGCCTGAACTCTGAGCCTGGGCGCTGTCCCTCAGCTCTTCAGCTCAAGGCTAGCACTCTACCACTTGAGCCACAGCGCCACTTCTGGCTTTTTTCTTTTTGCTTATGTGGTGCTGAGGAATCAAACCCAGGGCCTCAGGCATGCAAGACAAGTGCTCTGCTACTGAGCCACCTTCCCAGCCCCTCATACAACTTTTTGTACAATTTTTTAAATAAATGGGGAATAATATATAATATGTACTTACTATATATATTACTGGTCTCTGACACATACTCTCTCTGTTTCTCTTTTCTCTATATATACATATACACATATACATATATGTGTGTGTATACATATATATATATGTATATCCCCTGAATATATATTCAGGGAACAGTAAGTGCTGTGCAGAAAGTGAAAAAAGAGAGAGAACGTATATATATAAATAGCAAAGTCAAAGAACATTTCTTTGAGAAGACATTTGAGCAAAAGGCAAAAATATAAAAAGAACTACAACAAAATAGGTCCTGCTTGCTAAAGAAGTGACATTAAATGAACAGTGGCTAAGATAGAGACTAGGAGATGACCTCTGTATGGTCAAGAGAGGGGTAGAAGGGACTAGGTATATGTTTAGGCCACTTCAAGAGCCACAAAGAATTTAAAGCAGAAAAATAAGGTAAGCCTATTCACAGGAAAGAACTTAGGCTGTTCTTTTGAGTAGAGTCTGAATTCAGACCCAAACTTGTCTGGAGACCATTTTAATACGTGAGAGGGAGCTCTTGGTTGTACAGAGTAATGATAAACCTGGAATTTTGTGAGCATAATTAATGGTCATATATTTTGAGCTTGCAGATAATAGGATTTACTTTTGAACTAATACAGTGCAGAAATGATAGCAGTTTCAAGGGCAGCTCCAATTCTTTCAGCCTCAGCAGCAATAGTAACAGATGTGTCATCTATTGGGGGATTAGGTTTATTGGAGGAACATCAAGGGAACAATCGCAAAGACACTCTTTTTGGCATATCTCTCAGAGATATGAAAATGATAAGAACAAGCTAGATGTGTAAATTGGGGGGGTCATACGTCCATGGGTGGGTATGAAACCATGATAATCTTTCTAGGAAAGTAAACATGCCACCGTTGAAAGGGAAGTAGCCCAGTAAAGGTTCCTGAGATGAGGGTATCTAGAAACTATGGAGGAAATGTAGGAGTATAACATATTATTAACTCAGTGAAAATGTGCTCCAGTGAAGAGTGGAAAGTACATCATATGCTCGGAAGGACTGAGAAGCGAGTCCTTCATTCAGTAGAATAGCAAGAATGGGTACAAAGTATTGGACAGACAGAACAGAGACAACTGCATTGGTTAGTGACACACCAATCACATAAAAAGGTGAATATCTGATTTATAAGAATATGTGAAAGTGGAAAAAGTGAAAAGTCATGACCAAGTTTCCATCGATAAGACTTTCACTTTAGCAAGTATGATGATTTGGTAATAGTCCAAAGAAAACCTCTTTGTATCTTTTGTAGTGATTTTAAAATACTCCCTTTTTCAATAGATGAGCCTACCAAAAACTGAAAAAAAGATTTTGTAATACATATGTATATTCCATTTGCACATAAACATTCACATTCATATAAACTAAAAAAGGAGAGCATTTGATGTCTCAGTATTCCTATATGCTAAGATTATGAAAAAACTCATGATTCATACCCATATGAATGGTTTAAAATTAAAAGTTTGAACTTTATGAACTTCATTAGAAGCCTCAGAAAGTCTTCATTATGTCTAAGACTTGATACCCAAATTTTCTTCCCATGCATATTTAAAGGTTTGATAATGGCAACTTTTTATTTTGCCTTGCCAAAGAAGTACATAACTAATATAATGCATTCGCAATTATGGTCTTAGGAGAAGTGAAGACTACATAGCATTAAGGGAAATTATGGAAAGAGCTTCTCAGAGGCAGCATTCAGGATGCAAAGATTCCTAGTGTTCTGAACCACTTACCTCTCGAATGTCCCTTTGATATTTAGTGTTCATCTCTTCAGTTTTAATGAGATCCTTTCTTGCTGTCTCTGCTTCCTGTTCTACTTCTCCCACTCGCGAAGCCAGGGCTGCCAAGCGTTCTTTCATCTGGGCCATTTCATAGTTTTGCTTCTCAAGCAACTCCTGTAGTTCCACTATCTGACTAGTTTCATCCGTGGAGTCGATAGAGCCATTGGACAGACGCTGGGGGAATGGACAAAGAAGTAGCACTTAGGGATTTCTTTACTCTTCATTTAAAATGCGGGAATTGTAAAAAAAATGAAACTGGAATAGCTTTCACATTGAGAAATAGAAACTTCAGAAAAGAACTAGTTTGGGATAAAAAAACTAAACTTCTAAAGGAAACTTAGTGGGCCTTAAAATATGAATAAAAGTCAATAAGTGTGAAATAGATTAACAGATATACTCATACGTCTATACATAGAATTCAAATCCCTTTGTACAACTACTTAAAGATAATACAAAAAAATTAAAAATCAGATTAACAGATACATCTGAACTGAAAGCTTATATATATGAGAACTATACATAAAAGAGTTGTACATATAACAGCAAAAGTAACTCATGGGTATAATCATTAGATAAGTAGCAACTATTATTTTATCAAGTCTATATTTAGTTTATTTAAAAGACTATATATTAATAAAATGATATATATTATATATAATAAAGTGACAATATTATTAATGGGAAAAACCAGAAATAGTGTAATATTTTTCGGTTTTACTGAAAATTCACTGTAAATTTGCAGGCTTTATGCTAAATAACATATGAAAGTGTGCATATTTTTAAAGAGAGGCTATTACTATAGTGAATCTGACACAACTGGAAGAAATGTATAGTACAAAATGTCTCGAATTAGATATTGCAGCAATGTAAACAGTACCTGCACACACCACCCGTAGGAAGGAATCTGAAAGAGGATATGTATTTTTTGAGATCATTAGAAAGAGCTGCCTAAAAAAACCAGCAGTATCTTCAGAAATAAATAAGTCAAATACCTCAAAAGCAAGGAAACAACCCAGTAACAAGAAAAGTCAATAGCCTGAACACTATATTACAAAATCAAAAAGCACCTCAAAAGACATTTCATAAAAGACAATATACAACAAATAGTCAGTACATGTCTTTAAAAAGTCTCAACATTGCAAACCATCAAGGAAATGGAACTTAAAATCACAATGGGGTATTGCCTCATACTTTTTAGAACGTTATTGTCAAAAAAGGGTAAGGCATAGTGGCAAATGCCTGTGATCCTCACATTTGGTCGGTTGAGACATGGTGATCACACATTTGAGGCTAGCCTAGACTACGCAGCAAGACCTGGTGTCAAAAAACAAAAGCAACCAAACCAAACAGAAAGGTTTGGCAAGAATGTGGAGAAATTGAGGTCCTTATATACTGGGATTGGGAATGTGAATTAATGCATTCATGAAAATCAGTAAGGAGTTTCCTCAGATAAATTGCAAATTGAGCCAATAATCTCACTTCTGGGTATCGAACCACAGAATCAAAATTGACATTTTAAAGAAGTATCTTCTCTCCCCTGCTCAGGGCAACATTATTCATCATAGCCAGTACAGCAAATCAATTTAATTGGTCATTGACTATTGAATGCAAGAACAAAATGAGGTGCACATACAAATAGGATACTATTTAGCCTTTAAATAGAAAGAAAGTCTCATTTTTAACAGCATAGAGGAATGTGGAGGACATTATGCTAAGTGAACTGAGCATGTTACAGAGAAACAAATGTCATATGGTCTCACTTAGAGAATCTAAGAAAAAAAAGCAAACCTAAGCTCATAGGATTGGGGAGAACAGGGTACAACCAAAGACAGGGGGCAGGATGTGGTGATGAGAACAGGGTAATCTAACTAAAAGGCACAAGTTTCCATTTGGTCAGAGGAACAGATTTCAGTGATCAAGTGTACAGACAGATGACTACTGCTTAGTAATGTATCACATATGTCAAATTGCTAGTAGAGTTGTTAACTATTCTCACTACAAAAATAAGTAGGTTAAGAGCCAGATTTGCCAATTTGCCTGAAAGTAGATACAATGATGGCCAACTCAATAATAATAATTTAAAACTACTGCTTAGTATGGTTGCGCCAGAGAAGTTGTGGACAGAGTATCATTTAGAGGAAAATTCTAATATTCAATGGAACATCTAGAAGCAGGAAAGGATAGAAAAAGGCAAAGAAAGTACAACTGGTTCTGCTATAAAGCTTACTTCACAACATGAACTTGTTCTAACTCCATAGCTATATAAAGAAAGAAGTTGAACACAATGTAAAGTTGAACTTAATGTGTGATTTTGTTCCTGAGAAGCATTAGCTATAGAGCAGGAGTTCAGAAGCAAATCAAGTCAATGAGGAAAACATAAAAAGCACATATGCACCTTCTTCTATTATTTAACACTCAGAGACCTCAGTCCCCTGCAGATGTTGCTAATTTACCCCTCTACATCTACCTTTAACTTTCTGTCTGAGCAGAGCAGCCTCTTCTTGTACTACTCACAACAAGGGAAAACCTTTACTCTTTGTGGAATCTACGTCTTCAAATAAACTTCAGGCCTTTTCAAAGTAAGCATCTAATGCTTCTACCCAAATTATGAAACATTGAACATGTGGAAAACATTTTTAATGTATTTTCTATATGAAAATATATCACTGTCTTTCATATAAATATAAACCCTGTCTCTCACTAGCTATACAGTAATTTGTTCATTGTTTTCACATTGACATATGAAGTTGTGTGCATTAATCATATACAATAGAATCTATTAGGTTGTATGTAGAATCTAAAATGACTAATGCCACAAAAAAGAGGGTAAGAAATTAGTTGTCATCCTTGTGCCATTATTGGGAGGGGGAGTGATTTTGTATATTTCATGGATTTTAGGAAGGCAAATATAACATGGAGTAGCATTGACTGTAAAAGAAAAAGTAGAACAGAAAACATTTTAGAGGCAGAAAGAAACATACAAAACCAAATGCTTAAACACCGGCAATCCTAGCCACTTGGGAGGCTGAGGTCTGAAAATTGAGGTTTCAAGTCAACCAGGACAGGGACATCTGCCAACCAGGATAGAAAGACTCTTATTTCTAATTAATCACCCGAAAGGCAGAAATAGAGGTGTGGCTCAAGTGGTAGGATGTCAGCTTGAATGACAAAGCCAAGAGACAGAGCCCAGGCCCCGAGTTCAAGCCCTACTACTGGTACAAGATATAAAAAAAGGAAAACAAAGATAAAATACAGAGAAGGGAAAATAGGCAGGTGGAAAGAGGTGCTGTAAGTTTAGTTAACTTAATATATTGAGAACAGGTGGGCAAATGTAAAGAAAGTGGCCGAGAAAGGGCGAGGGTTGATTTGCCATTTTGTGCATGGGAAGGAGAATGTTCTCTATTCCTCTACAAGATGTAGGAGTTTCTATTAAATATGAAACAGTCTTACTTAATTATATATTATAGTGTATAAATATTAATATATAATATACATTATAAATATAGTAATATATGTCCATTATAAATGTATATAATAAATAGTGTATAATAGAAATATGTAAAATATATGATGTTATACAAATACTTGAATTATGACAAAATGCCATAAAATTGTATTCCAGGTATTGACAATTTGGCAACTGTTTCTAATCTTCACAAATTTACTTCTAAATTGTTGACTTGTGATTCAAACTGGTTCTCCTTGCTCAATGTGGAGATCTAGATCATATTTAAGAGTTCACTGTACTTTCTTCTAAGACCAGCTCCACATCAACAGCAAGCTGCAGTCCCAATAGCAAGGAAACAGACTGGGAAGAGTCAAGTGGCAAAAGCCAGGGCAGCCTTCATTCTATGTTTGAGATACCACCCTACCCTTTGTGAGATAGACCTCAACATCTGTGTTATAGCAGAATTCTTTCCTATCAGGTGGTCAGCAAGTTCATCAAAGGATGATGGCTGTAAATTCAATTTGTCTTAGGAGAAATTATTAACAGTCCCAACAGGGACTCATTTTGAATAATATTTATTCATTATATTATGTGGTTAAATTAAAAATTACTTCTGATACAATAGGAGGCATTTTCTATTTTCTTCACAGAGAAACAAATATTATTTGTTAAGGGATTTTTGCAGTTCACATGAACAATCTACCATCTTCTGCAGTAATGTGAATAAACCACCAAACCATTCTGCTTAGAGAAAGAAGCTAGACACAGAAGAGTACACACAGGTGGCCAATTTGCATATACAAGATTTAGAAAAGACAGTTCTAGTCAATCATGCTAGGGCAGCAGATTAATGATTGCAGGGCCTGGCCAGTATATGTCACAAGGGAACAGCCATATCAGTGATGGAAATTTTTCTGTTTTGACTGGAGTGATGCTTTACATACAGATACAAATATATCCAAGTCATAGAATTGTGTACTTACATTTATTTACAAATCATACATTAATAAGGTTATTTTTAAAATACCCCAATCACTAAAACGGTCTTTGAAAGAAATATTTGGTACTGATTGAAAACTTACATTCAGAATTATACATATATGCATATATATATGTATATATATATGGAGAGAGAGAGACTTGAAGAAACTGAGACTTATGTTGTTGTAGAGTGCTCATACATAACTTTAATATTCTGTTTAGTTCATCTACGTTTTACCAAACTGTTTCAACTCAAAATATAAATTGACAGGTTAACATTGTATATTCTGTATGATAGTAACAAGGGCCAAACATTGGTGTATGTACCAAGAATTGATATATATACCACTATGTCTATTGATGTGTATTATATATGTGTGTATATATAATGAATATATGACAAGTCTATGATGTGTGTATATATACATGCATTCTGTATACACACAGAATATATATACATATGTGATATGTATACTATATATATGTATACCTCATGTGTATTGTATAAATATGCATAAGGCATTGATGTCCTATATCTATATACAATTATCAAATATTTGCTAAGTACAAGTGAATGATGTCAGTTTTCTCTTTAGTACATAATTATGGCAGTTTTGTGTTCAGTAGGCCATTAAAATTTTGTTTATTATTGTATACTTTTCATGGGCTCAAATTTCTGCAGAAAATTTTAAATTAAATATAAACGCATCAGACAACTAAAATGGGAAGAAATGGGAAGGATAAA